ATTGATCTCTTGCATTGTCAAGATATTCATTCCCATTCATACGTGTCACCTTTATCACAATTAATACGGTTCATCTATATATATCTACCCATTTATCTATCTATATTATATATATATATATATATATATATATATATATATATATATATTAACAGCGGCACCTTGTATCATCCACTGTAGGACATACGCTTTTCCAATTTCTTCCGTTCCCTGCTTCCTATTCTGTCGTTCGAATTTCGTCATTTCATCATGCCACTTGTCACTTTCCTGCATTTGACCCCTTGATTTGATTCCCAGGCTGCTACTTTTACTGTTCACCTTTCGTCCTGGCTTCTACGGGGCTATCTGTTCACCATCTCTTCTTAATGGCCTTAAGTATATCTTCTACTATGATTTGTTCCCTACTCCATATTGTTCTCATCCTATGTTTGGGATAATATCTACATCAGCCTCTACATTCATCTTAGAGTAATGTGGTCATAGTTCATGTTGCTGTCCCATATACCAGCAACATGAACTATGCTGCCCCATATATCAGTTCCTCTTGACCAGCTGTAAACTATTTGCTGAAAGCCTATCACCCTGGCTCTTTTGTGATCTGTTTCTCGGTTGAACTTGCTGATCGGTGCCTATTCCTGTACAATCCACCTGATACACAACACACACACACACACACACACACACACACACACACACACACACACACACATATATATATATATATATATATATATATATATATATATATATATATATATATATATAACAACAGTTCAGTGATTTTCTATTTCGTCCTCTTTGTTAGTTCAATCGAAAGCGTACGTGTGGTATACCTGCAAGAATTTTCTTTTATTAAAGTGTGTGTTCCCGAAGGAAAGGCCTTTTAATTTGCTTAAATGCTCATCGTTGATTGAATACCCTTTCCCGTCCAGTCAAGCTTTTTAGACATTTCCTCTAGACCAATTGCTGACAGTTTTGCTGAAATCACCCTGACCAGCACCTCCTTCATGATCTTATGGTATGACGCTTGCTTTTCCATCTCTGCATACATCCAATCGAAAGATAATGGAAAAAAAACAAGAAAACGACTTCAGTTATTTTCTTTTTCGTCTTCCAGATCTCTGTCGACGGCCACGAGTACTCGGCCATCATGGAGGACCTCCAGAACGCGATATCCCTTGACTTCCACTACTACCGAGACCTCATCTTCTGGTCTGATGTCAGCCTGGACGTCATCATGAGAGCCTTCCTGAACGGCACCGAAGTCACGGGTAAGAATGGTGTTCAGTAGGTTGGTCGTATGATGTCAGGGCAGTTGCCTCATCGGATGTTTTATACATGACATAGATTCATTGTCGAACATACGTATGGCAATATAATACATATAGTTATATTGTTTTTCTTTTGATTTATGTTTTCATAGCATCCACACACACACACACACACACACACACACACACACACACACACACACACACACACACACACACACACACACACACACACACACACACACACACACACACACAGAGAGAGATACAGAGACAGGCAGACAGAGACGGACCGACAGAGAAACAGGGACAAGACAGACAGAGACAGAAAAACAGTGACAGGAAAGTACAAAAGACAGCGAGAAAGAAAGAAAAAAAAAAAAATTTGAAATCACACACAGAGTAACGACACTACGAACAACACACCCCAACTCACAAATGGTCCTCTTAACTGCGCCCTTTCTCCCCCCCCCCAGGCATCGTTCGCTGGGGCCTTAGGAAACCTGGGGGCGTGGCCGTGGACTGGATCAACGACCACGTGTACTGGATGGACGGGATAACCAAGAGGATCGAGGTTGCAGAATTAGATGGGTAATGATTGCATTGATAATGATGATCGGCAGCTGTAATTGGGTGATAATGGTCGTCATGGTTATGGTCGTTATCATGTAGAGATGATTTGGAGTTTGGAGTTTGTTTGACTGTTGAATATTATAAGTTTATGATAATGTTATCATGGCTGTAATTGTAATGATAATAATATTATCATGGTTATAATTGTAATGATAATAATATTATCATGGTTATAATTGTAATGATCAGAATATCATCATGGTTATAATTCTAACTTAGAAGAATCTCCATTTATCAAATAAAACATAACATCATTTCATTAAATAATAATATCCCTAAGTTATGAAAATTTACTGTTTTCAGTTATAGAAAAATAAAAAATCCCCAATTCAAAATGATAAATATCCCAAATTCAAACGAATCATTTGACTTCCTAATTAAGATAAAAACACCCTTTCAGTAAACATAAAAATCCACAATTCATATGAATCTCCTTTCTGTCATTAAAAATATATCCCCACTGTAATACTAATTATCTAACAGTAAACATAGATATCCCCAATTCACATAAATCTCCTTTCTGCCATTCAAAATAAATCCCCATCGTAATACTAATTATCCAATGACCTTTGCAGATCCAACCGTCACCCTATTGTCTGGAGCGGCCTGCAGAAACCTCGGGCGTTGGTGCTCTATCCACAGAAGAATTTGATGGTCTGGACGGACTGGGGTGAGGAAAAGGGAGGGAAATATAGAGAGGGATGGAAGGAGGGAGGGAAAGGATAGAAGAGGAGGGAGGGAGGGAGAGGGAGGGAGGGAGGGAGGAGAGAGAGAGAGGAGAGAGAGAGAGAGAGAGAGAGAGAGAGAGAAGAGAGAGAGAGGGAGAGGAGAGGGAGAGAGGAAAGAGGGAAGGAGAGGGAGAGAGAGAGAGAGAGAGAGAGAGAGAGAAAGTGAGAGAGAGAGTGAAAGAAGAGAGAGAGAGAGAGAGAGAGAGTAGAGAGAGAGAGAGAGAGAGAGAGAGAGAGAGAGAGAGAGAGAAGAGAGAGAGAGAGAGAGAGAAGAGAGAGGAAGAGAGAAAGAGAAAGAAAGAAAACAGGGACAGAAACAGAGAAATACCCGATAACCCCCACCTCCACTCCTCCTGCAGGTGAAAACGCGACCATCGAGAGCTCTTACCTGGACGGGTCTGGTCGCCGCGTCATCGTCAGGGAGGGACTGCAGTGGCCCAACGGCATCACGATGGACTACACGACCGAAACCATCTACTGGGTCGACGCTCGGCAACACAAGATCGAAGCGGCGCTGCTGGATGGTTCGAACAGGAAGACGGTAAGGTGGAAGAAGCCTTATTTTTTCCCCTCGAGGAGAATCTGGTTGTTTTCTAAGTATGGTTGGAGGTTTTACTTTAGTTGTGCATCCGTCTAAAATGTGGCGGATGGGAAATGGATATGTATTGTTATAGAAATCACTGCACGTATGTACATACACGCGTGCACACATATATGCTTACAGTAGATTATTACGTAAAATGCTAATCTATAATAACACCGACATAAAGTAATAAGACTATAAACCAATAAGATGATATATCAGCTAAAATAATAGTCATAAAATAAAACACACAAACACAATACGACAAAAACAACACACTATAAACCAACACGATACAAAACACAATAATAACAACCTCTCCCTCACAGATACTGGAGCGCAGTTTGCCACATCCCTTCGCCATAACCGTCTTTGAGGATAACCTGTACTGGACGGACTGGCGCACCCGCTCCATCCACATGGCCAACAAGAGGACGGGGAGAGACCACACCACCATTCACCAGAGCCTCGCTTTCCCAATGGATATCCGCAGGTGGGTATGGCGTGAGGGAGAATGTTGATGTTAAAGTGGTGTGGCTCCGTTTTCTGTTGGTGGTGATGGCCATGAGGTACTGTGGTAATCGTAGATCGAAAGTTTTTGTTATTATTGTTATCATTTGATCTTTGTAATGGAAGAAAACATTCGCGGTATATACCTTTTTGGGTTGTAGATCGAAAGTTATTATAATTATTTGGTTATTGTAACGAGGGATAAAATTTTTAGGGAAAGAATAAGGGTGCCGAATTCCTTCACCACTGAGGGCCAGATGTACTACACGTAAACTATTTGTTCATCAAATGGAAAATAAATCTCTATAATAGATTTTTTTTTATTAATTTGTTTATTATGTAAGCCTATATAATCAGATAGGCCTATATAGAGAGAGCGATCTATATGAATATATACAAATCTATATAAAGCATGACAGGCCTATATATAAAGAGACGCCTTTATTATAGAGATCTACATAAATATATAGGCCTATATAAATAGATAGAACTATATATAGACAGGCCTATATAACTAGATATGTAGATATACCTACATATAGATAAACCTATACAGAGGTGCTAAGCTTTGACGGCAGCATGCGTCTCTGCTCAATCTGGCAAGGACTCGACAAGCAAGGGACATCGTTGTAGATCCGCAGGGTAAGGGCCTTCCGTGGAATAGGGAGATTATAAGGAGATTCGTGTTTGGAATGAAAGAAGCACCAAAAAAAAAAAAAAAACTTGTTCTCTGTATTTCATTCCTTTTATGGTGGGTTGTCGATGTCATTATTTCTTGTTCTTAGTTCTGATCATAGCATATCTTTATTTTGTTTTATGTATTCAATTTCTTTTTATTCCTTTATTTCTTCATTTACTTGCAGTTTACCGCCCTAGAGAACCTCAACCTTTAAAAACCTTTATCTCAAACCCTCCTAATCTACCTCCCCCTTTTCCCAAACCATTCGCACGTTCATTGCTCGTTGTTCCAGACGGCTACATGTTCTGGAGTGACTGGGGCAAGCACGCCAAGATCGAGCGGGCAAGCATGGACGGCTCCGAACGCATGACGCTGATCGACTCCAACCTGATGTGGCCCAACGGCTTGGCCATCGACTACGAGCGCCGCGTCCTCTACTGGCTGGACGCCTCGCTCAACAACATCGAGATGGCCGCCATGGATGGCACCAACAGGAAGATCCTCATAAGTAAGGCTGTTTGTTTGTATATTAATGTGCCACACCACGCACGCACACACACACACACACACACACACACACACACAACACACACGCACACACACAGCTGACACCCACACACACACACACACACACCACACACACAAACACACAAACACACATACCACAAAACACCACCAACACACACACACACACCACACAAAACACAACACCCACACACCCACACACACACACAGCACACACACACACACACCAAACACACATACACACATTACACAACATAGCACACACACACTACACACACACACACACAACACACACACACACACACACACACACACACACACACACACACACACACACACACACAATTACGACACATACACCACATACACACATACACACAAACACTCACACACACACACACCAGACACACACACACAACACACACACACACACACACCACACACACACACACACACACACAACACACACACTACACACAACACACACACACACACACACACACGACACACACACACACAACACACACACACACACACACACACAACACACGCACACACACACACAACGCACACACACACACACACACACACACACACACACACACACACACACACACAACACACACACACACACACACCTATTTATGTACGTACATATACAGATCCCCACATACACATACAAAAACATTAACGTCCGATAGACAGAAGAAAATATATCGCCCATTATATTTTCTTTTCCAGAGGGTAACCTGACGCACCCCTTCGGCCTGACGCTGTGGAACGACCTGGTGTTCTGGTCCGACTGGGACACCAAGAGCATCCACGTCGCCAACAAACACAATGGGGGAAACAGACGCGTGGTGATGTAAGAATCTTGTTTATTTGAACTTGGGAGTAAATGAATGGGTTGAAAGGAGTAGAATCAAAATCAAAAACAGACAAAATTAAAGAAATGTATGTGTAGATTTAGAATTTTTAAATCTGTGTAGAATTATATTTTTTCAATAAATTTGTGTAGTAATTAGATAAATTTTTTCTATAAATCTTGTATGTGTAGATTTAGATTTTTTTTTCTATAAATCTTGTATGTATAGATTTTTTTTTCTATAAATCTTGTATGTGTAGTGTAGATCTTGATTCTTTCAATAGGATTGCTCTAGAATGAACTTCCCTGATGCTGATGATAATTTTTTTTTTTTGGGGGGGGGCGTTTTCCATCGTTACAGAGACGGGTTAAAGGGACTCATGGACGTCCGAGTGTTCCAACGGAAGCAGACGAAGAGAGAAACAATCTGCAGCACCAACAACGGCGGCTGTTCACACTTGTGCTTGCTCAGGCCGAAGGGAGCGTCCTGCGCGTGTCCCACCGGTATATTGCTCAAGGTAACAGAGCCTCATAATACGCTAAGTTTTATGCGCACATTTTTGTCCATATCTCCGAAATATTACACATTTCTTTTCGATCGTGCACATTTTTATACATAATTAACTCCAAAATACTACAGATTTCTTTTTGATCATGCACATTCTATAGAGTTGTCTCCAAAATATTACACATTTCTTTTTGATAATGCACATTGAGTTCCAAAATACTTTTCTTTTTATCATGCACATTTTTATAGAGTTATCTCCAAAATACTGCATATTTCTTTTTATCATGCACATTTTTATACATAATTATCTCCAAAATACTACTGGTTTCTTTTTGATCATGCACATTTTTATACACAGTTGTCTTCAAAATATTACAGATTATTCGACCATGCACATTTTTATACATTTCTCCAAAATACTACACATTTCGTTCCGATCATATATATTTTTATACATAGTTATAAAAAAACTGTATATTATAGTTATAAAAAAACAGTTATCTCCAAAATACTGCACATTTTTTTCGATCATGCACATTTTTATACATAATTATCTCCAAAATACTACACATTTCTTTTTATCATGCACATTTTTATACATAATTATCTCCAAAATACTACATTCTTTTTATCATGCACATTCTTATAAATAGTTATCTGCAAAATACTACACATTTCTCTTCGACCATGCACATTTTTACACAAAGTTATCTCCAAAATACTACACATTTCTTATCGATCATGCACATTTTTATACATATCTCCAATTTTTACACATTTTTTTTCGGTCATGCACTCCAGGACCATGCACTCGACATTTCCCGGGGCAATACAATGCCTCACACTTCCGCCCGCTTTCCAGAAAGATAAACACACGTGCCGGCGCCGACCCCTCCATTCGCTGCTGATCGCTGACCGAGAGAACATCCGCCAGATTTCCCTCGACATGTCCTATATGGTGGACGTCGTGTTGCCGATGCCTCACCACCAGATCGTAGTGGCTCTCGACGCCGATTCCGTCACAGGTGGGTTGCGTCGCGCCGATCTCGGGGGACAGAGCCAAGAGGGAGAGGTATCGACTTGGCACCTCTTAAAAAAAAAAAAAAAAAAAAAAAAAAAAAGCCCACTCTCCGGTTGGTCGTGATTAAGACGTAGCTGAAGTATCTACATTGGATTTAGATGTCCTGTAACGTGGGAGTGAATGCTTGTGTTTGTTTGTGTGTGTGTGTGTGTGTGTGTGTTTGTGTGTGTTGTGTGTGTGTGTTTGTGTGTGTGTGTGTGTGTGTGTGTGTGTGTTCCTCCACTGACGCACAAGACTATTCTCGTATGGAAACAAAAGCCTATAATTCCTCCATTGACGCATAATATACCACTCTAGCACGAAAGTCGAGACCTAGAACTCCTCCACTAACTCACATTAAACTATTTTCGTATGAAAGCAAAAGCCAATCATTCCCCCACTGACATCACCCCCCCCTAAAAAAAAAAAAAAAAAAAAAAAAAACTAGCTATACCAGACTAACCTAATACGAAAGCAAAAACACAAAAAATCCTCCACCAACGCACATCAACATCAAAAAATAGAAAAAAAATAATAATAAAAAGTAAGAATTAAAAAAAACTACCATGTTTTCCCTCCCCCTTCCCGCAGGTGACATCTACCTCGCGGACAACGCCATGCACGTGATTCGCCGCTGTTCCGCCGACGGGACCAAGAACCACGTCGTCATATCAGCGGCTATTAACACGGTGGAGGGCATTGCCGTAGACACAACGGGCAGGAAGGTAAGTGGGCGTGAACACAACCCTACCTGGCTCGGGTGAACAGTATTCGTAGTATGTGTTTTGATTTCGTTTTAGCTGTGTGCTACAAGGTCGTTCCATTATTTGAGCATTGGAGAATATACGAGAGAGAGAGAGAGAGAAAGTTAGTGAGAAAGAGAGAGAGAGAAAGTTAGTGAGAAAGAGAGAGAGTTAGTGAGAGAGAGAGAGAAAGAAAGTTAGAGAGAGAAAGAAAGAGAGAAAGAGACAGAGAAAGTTATTGAGAAAGAGAGAGAGAGTGAGAAAGAGAGAGAGAGTGAGAAAGAGAGAGAGAGAGAGAGAGACAGCCCATACGTTTTTGTTTATTTTTCAAACGTAAGGCTTTTATATTGTCTTTTTCATCTATACATTGATGATTTATCAGTTATGCTCTATATCCCAAAAGTAAAAAAAGGAAAATGGTTAAGCAATATACATGTTAAAGTGTTTGTAAATTCTAGAATGTGTCCTGTATATACGTAAGCTTCTGCTAATCAAATTTTTAGTGGATGAATATCATACATTTTCCTATTACGAAGCTGCACAGAAAGAACTGTCAGTCATGTTTTGTGACATGCATATGTATCATGAATTCTAAATAGACAATGAACAATAATGTCTTTACAATAAAAGTCTCATAAACGAATATACAGTCTGAACTCAATCTTACGAACCCTTCATCAAAATAAATCCACAGACCCAATTTATTCACATCTCAAAAGCACCCGAATAATAATGATAATAGTATTAATGATGATATAATGATGATAATAATAATAATAATAAAACACTAGACGCTCTCAAGCACAACAGTAAGTTAACTGCAAATATAACGAAGAGAAAAAGAAAACACCTGAAGAACCAATACAGCGAAAAATTACTTCGTCATATTCGCGTGTTTTGCCTTCGTTGTTCTACTTGCAACTCGTTCGACATGAATCCCACACGCAAGTTACACACACACACTACAAACACACACACACACCCACTCCCACCCAACCACACAAACACCACACCCACCCCACCCCCACACCCACTCCCACACCCACTCCCACCCCACCCACACACATGCCAACCGGAGTACCCCCTTCCTCAGATGTACTGGACGGACTTGAAACGCAAGTCGGTGGAGGTGAGCGAGCTGGACGGAAGCAACCGACGGGTCCTGTTCACTGACCTGCACAAGCCCCGAGGTATCGTGACTCACTACCCGAGTGGCAAGCTCTTCTGGGCGGACTGGGGCCTGCCGGGCATCGAGGTCTCGGATATGGACGGAAACGGACGGTGGGTTCCAGATTTGATTTTTTTTATTTTTTTAGTTTTTTTTAGTTTTTGGCTCGTATTTTTTTTTTTTTAGTTTATTGGTTCATCGTAGTTCATTTTCTCTCTCTCTTTCTTTTCCTTTTTTTTTTTTTTTTTTGGTTATTGGTTCATCGTAGTTCATTTTCTCTCTTTTTTTTAGTTATTGGTTTATCGTAGTTCATTTTCTCTCTCTCTCTCTCTTTTTCTTTTTTTTTTTTGGGGGGGGGTTATTGGTTCATCGTAGTTCATTTTCTCTCTTTTTTTTAGTTATTGGTTTATCGTAGTTCATTTTCTCTCTCTCTCTCTTCCTGTTTTTTTGGTTATTGGTTCATCGTAGTTCATTTTCTCTCTTTCTTTTTTTAGTTATTGGTTTATCGTAGTTCATTTCTCTCTTTTTTTTTTTTAGTTATTGGTTCATCGTAGTTCATTTTCTCTCTTTCTTTTTTTTGTTATTGGTTATCGTAGTTTCATTTTCTCTCTTTCTTTTTTTTTAGTTATTGGTTCATCGTAGTTTCATTTTCTCTCTTTCTTTTTTTTAGTTATTGGTTCATATGTCATTTTTCATCGTAGTTTTTTTTTAGTTATTGGTTCATCAT